GGCTCACCTACTTCCCCTAAAGTTTTCTAGAAGCTCTATTGCCTTTATTTCTATTTAGCCTGTCTTGACATTTACTTCTATTTATTTCTATTTCCTTAACCTACCTATTCAAATCAAATCCTCAAACAACAGAGCCTGTCAGCTTGCAGAACTTCTCTCCACAACCAACTCTTTGATGTGCCCGGTGATGAACCATCGTCTGCCCATGCCTCCACTGCTGCAGGCGGAAGCTTGCTGCCCCATCAGTGTCTTGGGGAACTTGCTCACACGTACCCACCCTCTGACATCCGAACATAAGGATGTGTTATGCAAAGTCCTCCAACGCTCAAAGAAGAAATAGGAGTGGAAAACACTTTTTCCACTGTTTTCTACCACTCAGGCATGTGCGCAGGCTGAACATATGCTGTGGCTCCAAACTGGACGTGCTTCAAAGCACAGCTCAAGTGTGGCCAGTCCGTTCAAACACCCAGCCCCAGACTGCAGGTTTGGGCTGAGGCAGCTGTGTGCAGCTCCCCTGGATGGTGACAGCTTTTTGGGACCAACGCTAGGAAGGCAAGGAGGGAAACACAAAATTCCACATGGGAAGAAACGCTGTAAGGCATTTTGGAGGTTTGGTTGGAGCATCTTTGGAGGATGCCTTTGGAGATTTGGTTTGGACATCCTTGCAGGATGCCTTTGGAGGATTGTTTGGGCCATCCTCAGAGGATGCCTTTGTAGGCTTGGGTTGGACATTCTTGGAGGAACGTGATGGAGCTGCAGCATTAGTGGCATAGGACGGAATGCTTTTCTTACTGATCTAGTGTCTCTGTGGACAGGGAGATGGCTGTGTAACTCTGGAGTCTGATTATGTGGAAAGAGTAACTATTCTGGGAGATGTCCTGTCTTAGTAGGAGTTTTAATGTCACAGACACAGACATATTCCCATATGGATATATTTATATTCTGCCAGCCAAAGGTTACCTTAGAAACTAAGAAGTAAAGCAACACAGTGAATTTCCTATATGAGAAAATTAAACTGAAAGGACTGAGATTTACTTCTGCATAGAAGTACCTAAACTTGGGGAACTTTTCACATTTTATTTCACATTGCCTGGAGATAAGAAGAGGTAATGAGATCTGCTCCCTGAAAGTCTGCAGGAAAGACAAGTGAAAACAAGAGATTTTTAAAGGTGGAAAAGGACTCCCTTGCCTTTTCATTTCTTGGGTTTAATTGCTATCCTGAATGTGAGCCATCAAAGGAACCTATGCCATGAACTGAAGCCACATTGTTCCCCTGTGGGTGCTTTGTTTCTTCATTTGATGGCATAAGCAAAGTCCTTTGTCCAACTCCTGTGGTCGGTCCATCTGTCTGAATGTTGCTGTTGTCGCTGCATGTCTTAGTGGTCTCAGGGGGTGTTCAGATGATAATTTTATGCAAATTACTTTCTTGATGAAAGCATTGAAGACCTGGAAGCTACATTTCAGTGCACTCCTTGTGCATGGACCTGAAACCAAAAGTGATTTTTCAACAGCAAGCTGTTCCCTTTATATACATTCCCTTTTGCTTTGCTAAGGGTGATAGAGAACAGGAGCTATGTGGAGATCGCAGCAACCTTTCAGTATCTGAAGAGTGCCTACAGGGATGCTGGGGAGGGACTCCTCATTAGGGACTGCAGTGACAGGACAAGGGGTAATGGGTTAAAACTTAAACAGGGGAAGTTTAGATTGGATATAAGGAAGAAATTCTTTACCTTAAGGGTGGTGAAGCACTGGAATGGGTTGGCCAAGGAAGTTGTCAATGCTCCACACCTGGTAGTGTTCAAGGCCAGGTTGGACAAAGCCTTGGGTGAGATGGTTTAGTGTGAGGCGTCCCTGCCCATGGCAGGGGGTTGGAACTGGATGATCTTAAGGTCCTTTCCAACCCAAATCATCCTATGATTCTATGAAATTCTTTACACCTCCTCTCCACAGTGGCAAGTATGAAGGTGCAGAGCCACTGTGAAGGCCAGTCCAGTTCAATAGCCACCTCAGGTTAATACTCCTGCTTTCTCTGTTTGGAACAACCCTGTGACGAGCCTGGTTATAAAAGCCCTGGGCAGAAACTAGGCTTTGGGACCTGGAATGACTGAGATAGCTTCTCAGACTTCTGTGCTTCTACTTTCCATTCATTTAGATTGGATGTAAGGAAAAAGTTCTTTACTGTAAGGGTGGTAAGGCACTGGAATGGGCTGCCCAAGGAAGTTGTGAATGCTCCATCCCTGGAAGCGTTCAAGGCCAGGTTGGACAGAGCCTTGGGTGCTATGGTTTAGTGTGAGGTGTCCCTGCCCATGGCATGGGGGGTTGGAACTGGATGATCTTAAGGTCCTTTCCAACCCTAACTATTCTATGATTCTATGATTTTCAACAAGTGTGATGCTGGCTGGGCTGCATCCATTAATGGTGGTTAATATCTCAGTGACGCAACATGTTTAGAGCCTGAGTTTAAAAGTAATGTGTGAAGCAGTTCCTGAGATCTTGGTCCTCTGAAGGTCCCACGGGAAAGCTGCTCCTACTGTGACCACCAGACCATTGCCTTACCTGAACAGTAGCTTCCTGAGCTCCTTACCGTGACCATTACACCATTGCCTGTATCTGAATAGGAGCTTCCCTGTGCTGACTTCTTGAGTTTCTACTGCTTATCAACCAGGTTTGTCACATTTCAATGGGCAACTTGCATCACTGCTAGGCCATCTATCTGATTCATGCCCTTAATGAATGGAAATAGAACACAAGGCAACTGACTGGTTTATGACACCCACAAGAACTAGCTAAGGTAGAATCTCCCCATGTAAAGCCATGGTCATGCAGATGAGGTGGTGTGTCATGCTAAAATGACACCTGATCAAAGATGTCCATCTCCTAGATAGGTTCTTCTAATGGACAGCCTAGGCCATTCATGACCAAAGTGCCTGTGTGATCATAGCAGCTAAATTAGGCCCTTGAAACAGGGACCTTGTGTGGATCCTCAGTTATCTCTCATATAAAGGGAGCCAGGTCTGTCAAGAGAACAGTGAGTTGAATCTCTTCTCAAGTTATGGCTTTTTGAGTCTGCCCTGATTTCTCTTATACCTATCACCTAAATAGAGCATGATCCATCAGGAGACCATACATATATAAAGCTTCAGCATTTTCTCCAGAGTCCTAGAGCTGACATAAACCGAGCAGTGTAATGCCCATGACCACAAGCTTTCCAGCAGGCTGAAGCGTGCTGATGTGACTGAAGAGTCCATTACTTTGTGACAGAGGAGGTCCTAGGAGCTAATGTGAGTATTGTGGGAAGAAGTGTACACAAACACCTTTGTTTTGGTTACAATAAAAAATTTATTTCGATTCATATCATACTGAAATATTAAATAAATAAAAAGTCAAAGAATGACTGAATGAGACTCCTCATCATCAGAGAAAAAGAATTTATTATCATAATTGATTGTGTAGTCAAAGAAAAATAGGAAGAAAATCTGGTTATGGGAGAAAAAAGTGCTCAAGAGATTTGGCTTTGGTAAAAAACGTAACACATATTCCAGGAGTGCTTCAGAAACTTTGCAGTGGTGGCAAATACAGTACAAGAGTTTGAAACCTTGACACATTGCTAAACATTTTCCATTGTAGTTCTCTTAGACAAAATAAACCAAGGAAGTTTCCAGCAGGAACAGAGTCTTCCACATTGGCAGTGGGAATTAAGTCTTCCCTCAGCATCATCTGTTGGAATCTCCTTATTCTGAAGGCATTTGAAAAAGCAGCAAAATTGTGGAGGAACTGAGACAAATACCCGACAGAACAGTCAGTTGCCTAAAGGACTCTAGAAAACGTTCCTCTGGAATAGAAATGTGATGGCACAGACTATCCCTCATCCTGCAGCTGGAAAGGTCCACTCTGCTCTCCACACGCTCTGAAAAATGGACATCAGTGGTACACAGCTACTGCTTGCTCTTGGCAAGAGAATTAGATGGGAATTGCCGCTTGTTCCATGATGAAGACACTAAATCTACCCACGATTGTACAAGCCATGATGTTTTATATGTGCTGTCAGAGGGAGATATTCAGGGAAAACTGTAAATTTAATTTGGACAGCAAAAAGAAACTTTCAGAACAGCACAGGCTAGAAGACAGCTGCTTAATTTACGACTGTCTTTGATCTCAAACTGTCACCTGTGATAAAAAAAACCCAAACCAGTGGGATTTGGGTACCAAACCACCATGAGAGATACCACTGGGATCTTCCATGGAGCCTTTTTCCTCTTATAGTTGATTTGTTTGTATTACTGTGACATCTCACCAGAAGTTCATTGATTAACAACTTAAACAGTGGGAATGCTTAAACAAACAAACATGGTTCAGGTAGAAATGTTTCACCCTTTCACAAAGGACACGTAGAAGACAGTAAGCCCATTGAATTTGCTGCACCTGTGACACGTAGGTTGAGTTCTGCTGGCCACCGTACTGGGAAAGGGCTTCCTGACATGAGGCTCATGAACAGGTCTCAGCATGAAGATGTGAAAATTCTGCTTTTTTCATATTGCAAACCTGAAGGGTTGTGTGTGTACAGCAAAGGAAACCCAGTTCTCTGTGCAGACGTTTGGCATCCTCGGCTCTTTATACGTTGTGAGTTCAGTAATACTCATGTGGGTAAAGCAGTTCATGTTGGCAAGTGGTGCCCAAACTAGGGATATTTTAACTGACCATGCCATTGTGCCATGAATTCCTGCCTTTGAGGGGAGCTCACTGTTACCAATTGGCACGGAAAATCAAGGGGATAAATACTGGCCTGAAGCACATCACTGGTTGAAGGGCTGTGCTTTCACTGAGCTCAAATACTTATCTGCTTGGTCATGCTGCCACAACTGGTGCATGACAGGAGTCATTTAGACCGTGATTTCTAAATTGCCACACACCCCAACCACTGTAATACATTAAAAATGAAATATACCATACATAAAAAAAATATGTAATACATTAAAAATGAAATATGCCATTTTTTTTCCCAAGCCTGATGGGAAGTCCCTTGAAGTCTGTGGCAAGAACTCCCCTGGCTTCACCGGAGGGGGAAATGGGTTAATAATCCATGAATCCTGTTTTTCATGATATCAAGAAGGATAAAAACCTGTTCTCCCTTCTTCATTACCTGAACTCTGTTCTTGGATTCAAACTTTAGCTGTCCTTGAGGATTAAAAGCATTGATTCCAGTGAAAATCAGGAGGTACAAAATCTCTGCTGTCAGTTCCCTCCTCTCACTGCCTAGAGGTACTGACATTAATACACTCCTTCCTCCAGAGATGCACATGATTTTGAAGTCTGGCTTACACTGTAGGATCAGCTTGTGTAGATTGTGTTCTTGTAGACTCTGCTATAGGGCAAAAGATTCTTGGTGTACTAGTAGCTGATATCCCAACCCATGATATTTCTTCCACTTCAAATAGAGACCTTGTAAAGAGATATCACTTTTTAGAATTGTAAAAAAATAAGAGGAAAAAGCTTCCTTGGAACTTTGGGGATATTTTCCCGTAAAAAAGGTAAAAGCTACCTTTAAAAATGAGTCTAGTTTGTGTTTGCTCAAACACGATATAGGAGCTGTCGCTATTGGTTTTGACTACAAAAGTATACCACATGGAGGCTACGCTTTGGTTAACTCCCCCCCCCCCCTTATAAAAAAGTTTAATTTAGGGTTTCTCATCTTAAAAAAGAAAATCACATCCGTTGCACAATTTGGAAAGGCACATATAAATGACTGAAAGAAAACAGTCCACATTCCAACCTTCGATCGATTAAAAATGAGCATTCCAGAGTATTTTCCACCAAACAAAAAAGAAATAAAGATTATATATAACTAAACAAGACAAACAAGTGGCTAAAAAGGCCATTTTTTTTTTTTTTTTTGCTGGAGTTTCCAGTATTGTTTTCTGTCTCATTATGGCTGTATAGGAAGCAATATTAAATAATATATGATCGGGCATGATTTGCTCCATGTTTATAAACACTATCAATGCAGAATGAGGCAATGGTTGAAATATTTACTACTCCAGGCAACTTCATCATGTTTTTTTCCTTAACACAGCATGAAACCAAAAGTAGTAACAGGAAATAGCAGAAACAGTTAAAAAAGAAGATCAACAGCAGAAGTGAGTTCATTTCTTTGAGGTAATCCTTACTATGATGTTCACAGCTGCCCTAGCAGGTCTCAAGTCCCAGAAGTCGTTATCACTCTTCTTCAGAGATCTTTTGCCTTACTCGAGGAAAGAATGGACACACAACCAGCAGCTGCTGTGCCCAGGTTTCCCCTAATTGCAACAGGCAGATCTTTCATCTGTCATTCAGGAATCAAGCTGTAGAGCCTAAGCAGAGATTCATTTATTCCCACAACTGATTGGTATTTCCCAGCTATCTGGGGATAGGAGATCACGTGCAGCGTGAAAGCCAGCCCTCAGACGGGCTCCCTGCGGTGAGCATTGCAGCAGTGAGATGCTCCGAATCCACCACAGATTCATGCGTTCAAACCTGGCTGGAGCCCACACCATCTTCACTGAGCCTTTTTCTGCTGCATGTTGGAAATTGCAGCCCCCACTTCTCCCCGTGGCCAGGGTCATCTGCCCTTGAAAAAGCTTATTTTTTCAATGGATGCGAGAGTCAAAGTTAAATTGAACTCAAAATCCCCATCATGGACACCCGTCTTCCGGAAAGCCCCAGCTGAGGCGTTGTTTTCCCAGTAGTGATGCCAATGTCCTTTGCTGTCTGCTCCAAAACCATACACATTCACCTAGGAAGTAAGAGGGAACTAGCGTTAGCCTGGGAAGCAATTGGTTTTCATCTGGAATGTTGAAGAAGCTCTTCTGATTCTCAGTTTATATCTAGGACCAGGGTGGTGTGCCAAGCAATTCTGCTGCATGAGACGATGCAACCACAGAATATTGGCTCAAGGCCTACTCAAGGGACATTACATCCTAAGCTATGTTGAGACCACCACCATACCTGAACTTGGACAGAAAAGGAAATTTCTATCTGCGAGTATTTGTTTAGCAATATAAAAAAAACACTCCCGTCCCCTGGTTTGACCTCAGGTGATCAAAACACCATAATCCATCACCACCAGTTGAGCATACCTGCATGTTACCGAGGACTCTGCATCTGTTCAAAGAAGCAAATGGCGGAGAAGATGGAGGGAAGGAAATAAAGGCTGAGTGAAGGGCAAGGGCAGGTCCCTGGCACTTCAGTGTGAAATGTCCTGATTTTTTATCTATATGTCCAAACACAGCCAGACTTTACCTCATCGCATACATGAAGTGCAAACATCAAAGACAGAAGGCCCGTGGATGGGTATCTTCCATGATGCTCAAGCCAGTTTTCATAGACATATTTCATAAAAGCTGGATTATAAACCAGGATCTAGGCGAAATTGGAGAGAAAGACCCATAAATAAATACCCTGGGAAAATAACAATGGTAGCATGTCATCCCTAAAGGACATTGGGGTAGGGGAGTGTGGAAGAAAGGAGTAATAGTTATTCCTTGAGAGAAGGTGAAAAGAAAAATAAAGTCCCATAGTTAAAATGCACTCAAGAACACTTCCTATGTGCAATTATACATGGAAAATATGAATGAGCATGAATATTGAATTATGCATGAATACTGAATTACGCATGAATATTCCTTCCCTGGTCTTGATACCCTACCTGCTTACACTAGTGTAAATTCTGGGTAATTCCTACTGAAAGCAACGGGTATGAAATGGAAAAAATAAAATGAAATTTAAGCATTTATCAATCCCTGCAGCATTCTATTGTAATGCAGGTGAGGTCTGGGGAATTGGAGGCCTGAGCAAGGTAAGAATAAGATGCCATACCAGATTTAATAGAATCATAGAATCATTTAGATTGGAAAAGACCCTTAAGATCATTGAGTCCAACTATAACGTGGGTGGGAACGTAGAAGCAATTGTCTCTTCTCCACAATATGTCAAATATGTCTTGGTACCTCTGTAGATACAGATCTAAGGAAACCAGAGGTCAGGTGTAAACTTTCAGGTTGTATAGCAGCATTTCTCCTGTTTTCCAAACATGCTGTTTTTCCACACATAAATTGCACTTGGTTATCCCCTAGGGAAATGATGAGATCAGCTAATGAACAGAGAGCACTTAAGATCAGACCTGAGTGTACAATAAATCCAAGGACTGGTGGGAGCCCTTGGTTTCGACCCCTTCCCTGAATGAGGCAAAGAGAGGAGGTTCTCTACATGCTGTGCTTGTAATTAAAAGTGATGTCTTTCAGTGCTACCTTGTTAGCTGCAGGGCTTTTCCTTTTACAGAGTCAGAGGTTAATTGCTGATACTGTATCTGTGTGTAATCACTTCTCACAGGGTGTTCTGCATTGCATAGTGTGGGAAGAAATACAAGGTTCTCATCTCCCTGCTCAGGAAGCTGCTGCATATCATCAGCAATAGCCTGGCCTGGTGCTACTCGACTGTGACATGAGTTTAACAACCTGCCACAGTGCATCTCACATAGGTTTTGCAGAGGTTACTGTGTTTCTCACAACAGCTAGGGATGTGCTAAGTGATTATTTAATGCCCTCTATAGGTCCTCTGTTTGAAGCACAGGAATATGAACTGATACTGGTTAAAAGTCTCATTTGAAGCCTTTGGCAAAACCTGGTCTCCTGAATGGAGAACATGTGCTTTAATCTGCAGTTTCAGTGTGCTGGGGCTAATGACATACTTTATCAGCCCTTGAGATATTAGGAGCCTGAGCTCCTTAGAAAATCAGCCTCTTCAAAGGCTGTGAGAATGAGATTTGTATTTTGCTGGAAGGTCTACAGAAGAAGTGTTTTTCCTCTCCCTACATAGTTTGTCTCGGTTATGTCCTCAAATAATGAAGCTACAACAAAAGTCTTTGCCTGGGGGCTAATGGTCCAACATGACCATTCTGCCCCATGGGAAATCCTGACTCCAACAGTAGGACATGTCTATTAAACCACAGCATAGTTGGGCAATGGTCAGTATGCATGACATGGACTCTCTTCTGACTGCTGTAGGGTGGGCACCAGCTTTGTACATCTTTCCTCAACCTTCGCAGAGAAGTGAAATCCCCTGACTGACTGTCTTCTACACATCCACACGATGAAATTGAATGAGTCAGAATTGTTTTGATAGCCTTGAGGGAAGTGGCACAGCACAGATCATGTCCACATCGCTCAATTCTGTCCCTGTGCAAAACAGGGAATATTCCCCGATCTATGCTACATGAACATTGCCTGGGAGAGTATTGATTAACCTGGGACAAAACCAGCATGGCCTTGGCCTAAGCCCAGTCTCCAAGCTGTTTAACTGGGTACAGGTAGTTATTACAGCTGTGGGCTATGAGCCTTCCTCAAGAGCCATTGATAACATCATGAATTCTCTCTCCACTGACTTGAAAACACAGAACTGTGTTCAGAGTTCACTTTGCTCCTTGTTATAAAGAACGGAACAAGGAGTGTGAAACACCCTTAGTTTAGTCAAATTACTTAACACCCCCCTCCCCAAAGGCTCTCTACTCATTAGTATATGAGCTCAAAGTGTCATTACATGAAGTGGGAACAGAGCAAATACTGAGGAAAGTGAGCACTGTTGGCCGGCAGTGCACCTTAAATGTCTTTGAGCAGTCCTAGAGGAAGCAATGCCACCTTCAGAACATCAGTAATTCAACATCATAGTCAGAGCATCAGTTTCTTTCCAACCTCAGTTATTTAGTGGTTGATCTATGGCCTGAATGGCATACAGGAGCTAAACCTTTAGCTTAGCTGAGCCTTGTAATGTGTGTGGATTTTGGTTGCAGTTTTTATGAGTGTCAAAGGAGTTCCTTGGATTCTTGCAATGTTCCAAAGAGGCAAGAGAGCTACAAGTGGATTAGCAGAACGAAACCATAAAGCAGCATTGCTCACCTTTTCTTTTTTGACTTTGATTTTCCGTGGAACTGGAACATACGTACTGTTAAAAACAAACACAAACACCAAGATTAGTAAGAGCCCAACGTGTTAATATCTTCACGTATTGCCAAAGAAAGAAAGAATATTCTTCATGCACAGCAATAAATTCAACTTATTTGAAAGTAATAAATACAAGAAGTTGTTGGAAAATGAGGCTGCAATTAATAAATGCAGCAGGAGAACTGAGCTGTTGCTGAAGCAGGTTTATAGGAAGCCATTCCATTTTTAAATATTCAAGTTAATTATTGACAGGAGGGAACCAAAGATTTAGTTGCAATATACTGTAAAATCAATACTGCTTGGAACCATGACTTCTAACTCTTGGATCATGACTGTTGCAGTATTTTCGCTTTGATGAACAGAAGGGTTTTGCATTTGATTTCATGGCAGAAAAGCCTTTTCCCACCAGGGGGAGACTTTTCCCCTCCTAATATCTGCAGCTCTTAAATGATTTTCAGAGTAGGTGGTAGTAAAGTTCCTAATTTCTGTGGTTATGTGCAACTCCGGCATTGCCAGCACACAGCCCTCACCAGCAAGCTATTCTCTTCCTCCCCATGAGGACATTGAAGGCTTTGTGCAGTTCCCAGCATAAAACTTCCAAGTCATACCTTATGACTGGGTTGAAATCACAAGTCGTGTCTTAGAAACAAAAGAAGTCTTTTCTTCCCCATATCATGCCCTGTGCATGCTGGTATTGCGCAGCTCATCACGAGTGCTGGAAAAAGAGAATCTCCCTGAGTCTGATTCAGGTGAAAATGTTCTGGTAAATTGGCCTTGTTATTGGAGTATATCGCAAAATATACTCTACATATTCTGTAGATGGGCTGTTGTAAATTGCCAAAGCCTTCCATTAGTTCAGTCTAAATGTTTGCACATGATTTTTTTAACAGCAAGGTTCCTGTCATTAAGGTTTTATTTCTCTTTCACCCATGGATCATCAGCATTTTGAAGCACTAGCCTAAGTCTTCCCAAACCAGTGGTGACCTGGCAATGTCCTCATCTGCTTAGGTACTTCTGAGCATCCGTGGCCTGCAATCGCTGCTCTGGGCTGAATGCAGTGTTAGAGGTGATGGTTGGGTTCCAGTTCTCCAGAGATGTGGCACAAGATGGTAATGGGGAAGACACCCATGTAGACTTCTTGATCTGCTTTAAGCAAATCTCCCTTGCATTTGCTTCCCACACCTGACTTTGATTAGCAAAGTCAGTAGGCTTGGTGATCCCATGTCCTGATTGTAGTTATGAAGACAAAAAAACGTTTCTTTGCTGGTAAAATCTCCTTATTACTATATAAATAAACAGCCTATCTTTTCTAAAAAGGTGATGTGAAGCAAACATTGGGTTCATATTTCACAGACATCTGGCTAGGTACTACAGATGACCAGAGAATGGTATGCAGTGCTCAGGCCAGTATTTGGACACAGCTCTAATCGAATGAGGAGACTACTCCAGCTCTTGCCACATGATGTTAGTTACTTTAATCATGGAATATTTCACTTTTTCAGGAGTAATATCCAAGTCCTGCTGTCACTTGGCTGCAGAATTCCATAAATCTGCATGGAAAGTACTGGAACGCTGGGCAAGACCAAATGGAGACCTGTGTAAAACCTGGGCTACATAGCAGCCAGGGAGTCAGTGATGCAGCAAATACCTCAGGAGCAGGGCAAACAGTGAAGCCTGTGATGAAGGTGGCTACAAGTGGGAAACATGGAAAACATCTATGAGCCACTTTGGAGGGCACTAGTAAAATGTGCCATTATTACTGGCTGCCTTGTACAGGGGATTTATTGTTTTATCCAAGTGGAAGATATAGAACATTCTGAGGAATACCCAAATTGCTCTTTGCCAAATCAAATGGAGATACGTGGAATGTTTTTTTCACTGAGGAGATTCCTGAAAGACTTGCAGAAGGCAAGTTGAAGCAACTGCACTAAGTATGACTGATGAGGGCCTGAAGGTTTTCTGTCCCAAGAGGCTTTTCTTAGTCTTTTCTAAGATAATGCTCAGTCTTAGAGAGCCACTTTGAAATGGGACATCCATCACTCAAATGGGACACGTCTGAGAGAATCATTCAGATACCAATTCAATCTCCTATTAAGGCTATCTGCAGTCTGGCTTTCATTTTGAACCGTAAAAATTGCTTGAACTATAATACTACTGGGAGGAGAATATGATTAATTCACAGGTTTTGAGTCTTAGGAAATTATTACTTCATTTGAATGGGATACAGAAAATTAAACGTTGCGTAAAAGTCTAACCAATACAGGATGCTTATCTTGCTTGTCTTGGGATAACTTAGATTCTTCTTAACCTAACCTCACTCAGTTGATCCTATGCAGCCTCTGCACAGGGCATAATGTCCCTGCAGGTAGGGGTAAGGAGGTATTTCTTCTTTTCTAAAATACGGTATTTCAGATGTTTTTTTATTTTTAGTTCCTGTCTCCTCCCCTTTGAAAATGGGCAAGCAACAATTTCCTTATATACTGTATCTGGCATTGTGTACTTAATGCGTGTCCATAGGTTTCTTCTGCTAGCTTCAAATCATGTTACATTTACTGTTATGATTCGTGTGTTTATGGTTTTCTGGTTTTATTATTCCAGCGTATACCAGCTTATTCATTATGGAATTTCCTTGCTTTGAATATGGTATTTATTTCATATGGTTAAATACACACTAATGGATACCAGATGCTTACCAAGCCCATGTATACAATCAAATTATAAATATATAATACATCCTGTAGTTTATTAAGCAAAGATGTTTTTCCTTTCCTGTTACTGCCTTGTGGTCAACCAGCTATATCTTCCTGACAGGCTAAGGGCTCACGCAACTTGCAGTGTAGACCTGAGGTTGCAGGAAGCGCCCAGACCTTTCTCCTAGTACAGGGACAGGCAGCAGACCTGCTTGGAAGATGTGTGCCCAGGTGCAGGATCTCTTATACCTGATACAAGTATAGGTAGCAGCAGATAGCTGAGCTTTAGGAGACAGTGAGAAAGAGCTCCACAGCTGGTTCTAAGTGCAGTCTGCAGTGGACCCATGGCCAAACAGGTAAGAACTCCCCCACCAGCACACAAAGAAGTGTGTGTGAGGGGTGATAATGCAGAACAAAGGATGCTTGCAATGGCAAGGACCTGCAGGGGGAAGAGCCTTCCTCCAGAGCCTGGAGTGCTCTTGCTGAACCACTTCACTGTTCTGCAGACTGAAGAGGAAAGACCTGTCACATCAACAGCGACACTGGATATTGTTTTAGCCAGTTTTCTGAGTGGGCTCAGTTTTCTTCCAAGTGGATCCTGAAGATGGATGTTTTTCAAGACAGCTTATGACTGTATATGCTAAGTGGCAGAAAAAAAAGATAAAAAGACAACAAACCAGATATGTTACAAGTTGAGAGAATAAGAAGTGAAAAGAATCTAAAACACAAATGCAAAGAGAGAAAAGAATAAAAGAAGTAAAATTCCAGTTGTTGTCCCATCAAAAAACTTTCCTTAAAAACATGCAGCAGGTCTTTTTCTCAGTCAACAGGGACGTACTGTCCCAAGTTTTTAATCTTCTGAGACTCTGAAATTGGGAAAAAAGTTGAAATGTCTTGAAACTGTTCTCTCTGGAATAAAGTAATGTGATCTGATGTATAGCAGGGTGCCACCAAGCAATCCCGCAAGACTGTGGCTTTACATCCAACAGATAACCTCATACACAGTACAATGTCACATATTTCATTCTCTGGATTAGGAAAAGCCAGCTTACAGGAAGGGAGGGAATCTGCTAACAGGCATCCAGAAGAAACATGCATTTTGTTCACATTATGTGCTGCCATAAATGTATTAAATGGTGAACAGGTGAACATTTACTTCAGAATCGGAAAATAAATACCAATGTGGCCCATTACTGGCAGGTACAACATGTGAATTTGAAGCTAAAACACACAAAACAACAGTCTCCTCTGCATGTCTCTCAATCACATTCCATCAGGAAAGACAGACCAAACTTCTTTGCCTCAAAGAGTGCACCATAAATTAAGCTGTTCCTAGAAAGCAAGTGTTCAGGACTAAACTCTGACCTTAGAGGGTCCGTAAAGCTCCCCTAGGCCTTATTAGAAGCAGGGATTTGCCCAGTGTTACCTCTTAGAGCAACACAACGTGATCCCACCCCTCCAGCCTGCCCTTACTCACAAGTTGATGGTGCCTGTGGTGAGCGCGGTGACAACCCAGTGCAGGTCCAGCGTTTTGAACGGGATCAGGATCATGCTCACGTTTTCTGCCAGCTCTTTGTAGCTCTCAGGGTAAACGAAGTGGTGCGTGGTCTTGCTCCCAACATCCGATTCATAGCCAGCCGTGGGGGCACGGTTCATTCTGCAGCCCAAAAGAAGGGAAGAGAGTGAAGAAACGGGACAGGAATTAGGTACAAACATGTGCAAATCTTCCCCAAATAATTTGCCTGAGAAAGGCAGGAAAATGCTCCCACGACTAAGCAAAGCGATGCACGCAGGTTCTTCAGACAGCCTTGACAGATTGTAGGGGTCTTCAGTGACCACCACCCATGTGGATAAATTAACAGTAAACGAAAGCTCAGCTGTAGTGTGGTTTTCCTTGGACTGAATGGGAGTGCCTACCAAGCAGGTGTATCTCTGAGCACTTCCCTGCGTTCCCTTTACAGTCAGCAGAGAGCTGATCAAAAAAGTGGTGACCATGAGAACTCATCTCCTTCCACCCTTAAAGCTGCAGCCTGCAGTAGATAGGAAAAACATTGTTCTGAAGTCTATCAGCTTGACTTTTTGCAGCTTCATCCCCTCCCCAGTCTGGATGGGTGTATATAGATACCTACAGTCAAGGTAACAAACCATGTAATGTGAGATGAAGAGCAGCAAATATTCATTATGGTTCTCCCATTAAACTGCACCAAAGCCACAGTGACAAATCCAGGACCTGCTGCTGACACTTCATCTACTCAAATCTTACTTTGTAGTAAGTCCTCCAACTTCAATTCATCTACTTAGGGTGATTCTACATACATGTGGTGTGCTTTAGGTAACCCTAGGGTCACTGCATGGAGATCTGCCCAGGACCCACCAGGGCTCAGTCAAAATGAATTGGCCAAACAGGACTACCTTGTATTTGGTGTCTCAGGGAAGAGGGTGTGCTTCTGAACTCAGGGCTGCAGAAATGTCTCTATGCTTCTGTACACTTCTGAAAGCAAATCTGGGGACACATCAGCAGTTCCTTTCCTGATGTATTAGCTCCAGACAGTTAGAGATCTGCATGTTTCTCTGGTGCAGTGTAATGCAAATCAGAGATCTCTGACAAACCTTGCACGAATTCATGGTGTGTTTAACACCACAGAGTAACCCCCAACCTGGCTCAGACCAGAATGGGTTTCCCTGCAGCCCAGTGGAGGGAGTCTTCTGCAGAGACATTAGCACAAATCCTGACAGAAGTGCAGGGAGGACAAGGACGATGTAGGTGACAAGGTGATGAGGAGCATCATACATTGCCAGATAACATGCAGATCTGGTCACCGAGAATGGGAGAGGTAAAATATGATTACCAAATCTATGCCAGGCTGTGCTATTGCAGTGTTCCCCCACATGAATTAGTTAAGTTTCTTCTAACTTCCACAAGAAGAGTTACTAGCATAGGCAGAATAGTCTACCAGACTGCATGGACTTGTTATTGAGTAAGCTCTTCCCTGCCAGCCACCCACATTGTATTGTGTAGAAATACTAGCAAAGCAGGAGACGTACTATGTTTTATCTTGAGATTAGTCAGTCTAAGGTTTACAATACTGGGTTCGCTTTCCATCAGGACAAAGCCAAGGGTGGCATCTAGGTTACCTTACTCACAACCTGCCCTCGGGTCTATGTACTTTCCCCACCAACTTTGGTAGATCTGCCTGTGTGACATGGTCTAAGGCACTGCTCACACCCAGTCTCAGCAGGAAGGAACAAGCTGGAACTTTCTTCTCTCATGAAAGTAGATAGTTAAACAAAAAGGAGTGGGCTGGAACACTGTGTGGAAGGAAAGAAGCCCCCTCAGACTCGCTGGCTCTTCTCAGCGCTCGGCTTTATTGCCACAACACATGGAAGTGAGTATCAGGTCACGAGGGATTTTGTCTGTTGGATTAGCACACACAGGGGTCACCTTCTCTGGTCACAAAGTTCCACAGTGACTCCCTAAAGCTTTGTGCTATCCCTTTAGATCTGGTTTGATAAATCCAAAACTGGCAGGTTCAATTCCAAGTCACAGAGAGTTTCTCCCTTCCCAGGGATGTACAGCTATGGAAAGAACAAAGCCTTAGAGCAGAGGCACTGAGTGTGTTACTCTTTAGTTACTACTTAAAAATATAGCTTTTTGAGTCTAGCAAAGCCTTTTCTGAATGAATCTGGAAGCATAGGTCTGGTAAGATAAGAAAGTCCACACAGAAACGGGGATGTCTCCACAGCAAAGGACACAGAGTTAAGCACAGATGCACCGCAGCTGCCTCACATTTGCAACCTGCAGTACTAATGTCTAGGGTTCTTCACTTCCCTTCAAAGATCTGAAGACCAGGCTGGCTGCCTCTGCCTTCAGGAGGTTCTTTGGTAGAGGACAAGGCATGCAACTGATGGAAGCAGATCCCAAAATGATTACTGTGAACATTTAGATGTCATCAGAAGGCTCTACAATGTGTCCAAGCCACACTGAAAACCAAGTGGTGTAAGGTGGCCTAACAGTTCAAATAGCGTTGATCTGCTGCTGCTTTGCTCTTGACATCAATGCACAGTATCCTACTACAGATTATGTTATTTCCCAGAGTATTTTCAATAGCAATTGCTCCTTTCCAGGCCTGCACTGCACTGCATCACTCCCCAAATTGTGCTGTACTCATAGCTGTGGTGTGAAAGCTGGACAATGCATTGGAGATGAACTTAGCCCACATCTTGGCTGCCCTCTGGGTGATTAGCTTTGCTCGTCTAGTTCCTGCTTGTACTTCAGTGGGACAAAATAGCCAACCTTCACTGCTTGGAAAGGAAGAGGTGACACAACCCTTCACAAAGTAACTGCAGCCAACCAGTTTTCTCCTGTCCATTGCAAAGCGACTTTGTCTTTCTTTGCCATCATTTTCTGAGAATGAATCAGTGCAAGAGGTCAAATCTGGTACAATTAGTAAGTATGTAAAAGAGCGCTTGTGAGTACCATCTGTAGTAACTTTTGCTATATATTTTATGATTTTTTAAACATAGGCAATTATGGATAGTGCAGAACAAGCTGCAACATCTATTCGTTGTTCTTTTCCAAGCTAAAACATGATGTTGTATCTCCCACACACATAGTTTACATCCCTGGAACTGAGATTTGACCTAAGTACCAGATTTCACTAGAGAGCCCCTGAAATCTCATTTGCTCACTTGTCCCCCAAATCACCAGTGATTCTTAAACAAGAGCCATGTGGAGCTTGGGTGGTGCCTACTCACCTCAGCACAAAGTCATGGGAGTCAATTTCTTGGCCATACTGTGACTGCCGCAGGTTTCCAGAGTTGCCCACAACAGCGCATCGTCTGCATGTGAAAGTGCCTCGCTCCTGCAGCGGATCCCCATCCCCAGGAATGATCCCAAACAATTCTTTGAGGGTAGCATTAATATTCTTTGGAGTTTTCTCTCCTTGCAGTTTCTGTTGGGAAGAAAAATCACTCCAGGTTACTAATACAGCTTTTCTGCGAGCAAGATGTAGCTTCAAATGCCTGCTCAAAGACCATTCTCACATCTACCTGCAGACACTGTCTCCTGTGTTCAGTTGGGAGCTGAAGTGTTAAAAAAAGACCCCAAACCCAACAGCAAAGTGGAAAATCTCATTAACTTTTTTAACTTGGTTCCTCTTTTTCCCTTTTCTCCTTTGATCCCTACACCTCCTCAGTCTCTTTCTAGCCATGGTGGAACAGACAGAGTTCTCCCCAAGGCTGACCTCAGCAGAATAAAGGTTAGCCTGGTGTCTATAAGCCTAATCCCACTTTGGGCCAGAGATCTTTTATTAAGACAGGTATAAGGTTTCTTTTAACCCTGCTAGGAAGGACTGAAGAGTCTCATATAACCTGATGGAGCACAGTCACCCCTTCCTAAAATTTTGGCATATGCCAGAAGTGGAATTAGGATATCATATTGCTGCTGCTCTGAGCTGTGGAGAAAGCAGCTGCTAGTGAATAGGAAACTATGGTAGAGTTAGCCCTGAGGGTTGGAAATGTAAAATCATCCCAAAAATGCATCCAGGATGAAGAAAACCACCCGGACCTTGGTCATTGTGCCTGTTGCCATGGAGGGAAACTCTTTTGTAAGCAGCTCTGTGGTGCATGATGGAAACAATGGCTAGGTCAGGAAGGTATAGGCAAGGTGCAGGGCAGGTGATGGTCACACACTCCCTGTCTGGGGCTCTGCTCTCTGAGGGTTACTACGGAGGTTGTGAGCGCTGGCAGAGAGCACTGCCCACCCTTGTGGTTCTCACAAAGGGAGAACAGCTCCTAACACAAAACCTGCCAAAAGGCTCTGCCCTTGCGCTGCCAGCCCAGGGCTTTGAGAGGCAGGGAGGGAGAGAGGAGAAACACCTTTTCCCACGACTCCCAGCAAAGGCCTGGGGTAATTTGGCTTTAGTTCCCGATGCGCTTCCCTCAAGGGTACCAGGAACTGGTAATTTTTCCTGCTCTCTCTCTCACAAGCAAACACAAACAGATGTATTGCTGTAAGTTTTGTTTAAATTCCCTGTTGTCTCTTTGCAGAACTATATAAAGCAACCTTATTTGCACTGAATTCAACAACAGGTCTGCAGAACTCTGAGCTACAAAGCAGCACTGGGGCTAAGAACTTGAAACAAAGAAGACAAAGGAATGTTGCATACATAGACTTAATCTTCCTTCTAATCCTTGCTAGCCTATATATTCATGTATGGACTGCACAAGGTGACTGGGATGCAAAGTAATCAGGATGCCCTATCCATTGTTACAGCCATGCTATGGAGTCCTTAGAATTTCTCTGGAGAGACCTTGTAACAGTATTCTAACACCTAAAGGAGGCCTGCAAGAAATCTGGACAGGGACTTTTTACAAGGGCATATAGGGATAGGACAAGGGAGAATGGCTTCAAGCTGACAAGAGGGGATTTAGATTAGATATTAGGAAGAAGTTCTTTACTGTGAGGGTGCTGAGGCGCTGACCCAGAAAAGCTGTGCCTGCCCCATCCCTGGCAGTGCTCAAGGCCAGGTTGGACACAGGGGATTGGAGCAACCTGGTCTAGTGGAAGGTGCCTCTGCCCATGGCAGGGGGTTGGAACTGGATGAGCTTTAAGGTCCCTTCCAATCCAAACCACTCTGTGACTCAATGATTATCACCACATTATTACACATGCGATTATTCATTCACCTAAATTCTTGTGCATTCATTATGAATCAAATCCAACCTGATTTTACTCTCACTATATAAAAAACGCTTAATATTAGAAAGTCTGCAGCCTTCAAAATAAATGGAGACTTCATAGATGTCATGGAGCATAGTATCAGGTGGATAATGTAGAAAAACATGACCTTTTTTTTAAATAGGAACTCACTTTGAGTTATTTGAACACAGGTGTGCATATACCCAAACTCTGCCTCTGTAAAGGTGATCTGACTTTCTACTGCCTTTAAGAAATAAAAGGGAAAACAACCAAACATGTATCAAAATATTAAGAGCATAGTTATTCTGCAGGGTGAAAAAGTGGGAGACGTACCCACAAACAAACAAAAGAGCCAAACCAACCCAACCCAAAATCTTATTCTTGAACTGATTTTCTCTGAGAAAATTCAGATGAACAAGGTAATTTTCAGAAAATTCTGAGTACTCGAGCCCCCTTTTTAAGTTAAATTGCCTTTTCAGCCAGAACGATAGCATCAGGAAAGGAAAGGATGTGGCATATCGGCATGTTGAATGCATTAAAATGATAAGAAACATAATGGATAGATAGCTCCATTTACACAGAACAGGGATCTGCCTTTTCTTTCTGTTATGCTGCTGTCAGTCTATAGTAACTGTATAGCAACCATGTTAAAACATGGGCACCAACACCAGCCTGAGAGCAGGACACCATCATCCTGTTGGTTGTACACAACTTCCATAGCAAAGATTATTATTACAGAGATTCCCTCAACGATTTCAAACAGGATGATGACCTTATTGTACTGTGCCCTTACTGTACAATAAGACATCCATCCTTAACTCAGGAACAGAACAGAAGTGCTCTGTTTTAATTTCCTCAATGATTAGCTCATTGGACCACACCTTTCAGGCCTAATCTCCAGTCAGCACTGGTTCTAACCTTCAGTCTTTGACACCTCAGCAAAACAGAGCAGAGGAGACAATAAAGCTGGTTAACTCCAAGGCAAATACAGCTTTTAGAAGTACAGACTTATTGTGTGCCAGCTCCTTATTGCACAATGTTTACTTGACTTCCCGAAAAAGACCGTCTTAACAGCATCACAATTACAAGCCAATTATAGTTCACTTTCCCACACCAAATTTTTGTCCTTTTTTGGAGTAATGTTGTCTATTTGTTTACTTTTTCACAAGCTCCCACCAGTTTGGCCTTTGCCATAAATCAACTAAAGCACTGGCTCAAAGTCTGTCCATGCTGAGCAAGGCAGAGCCATAGCAGTGCCACGTGGCTCTTCTGGAACAGCATCCTCCCACCAAGTGCTTTAGATGTGTACCAGGGATATGTGTATGGATACAGCTGCTACGAGAGAGCTTAAATACACTGAAATACCTGAACCCTGTGTCCTCAGTGAAGTGGCTGCTCTTCTCAGAAATCTGTGCAAGCAACAGCCGTGTCTAAAGATGCAGTTTAACCTCTTGCTTGAATACAAAAGGTATCTTAACTCACCTTGTGTCCACATATAAAATACCATTAGATCACTTAACAACCCAGCTGCCCTCCATAAACATTTGTCTGCCTCTTGGGAGTCAACTCTTCACCTTAAATTGTTAAAAACTGTAATTCAGAGTCCAGATTGAGAAATTTCATAGAACCATAGAATCACAGAATGGTTTGGAGTGGAAGAGACCTTAAATCTCATCCAGTTCCAATCCCCTGCCATGGGCAGGGACACCTTCCACTAGACCAGGTTGCTCCAAGCCCCGTCCAACCTGGCCTTGAACACTGCCAGTGGTTGTGCATGCACAGCTTCTCTGGGCACCCTGTGCCAGAGCCTCAGCACCCTCATAGTGAAGAATTTTATCCTAATATCTAACCTAAATCTTCCCTCTTTCAGCTTAAATCCATTGCTCTTTGTCCTATCCCTACATGCCCTTGTCAAAAGTCCCTCTCCAGCTTTCTTCTAGGTCCTTTTAGGTACTGGTACACTGAACCCAGAACCTTTGAATTAGAAGTTATTATTAAACGACAAGTGTCCTAATCATCTTCACAGGCAAACTACCCTGTCCTCCCAGCCACACAATCTCCTCACTTCACATACAGAAGTTACTAGCTGATTTTGGATTTTCTTCTTTAAAAAAGCAAGAAAAATGGGAAGTAAAAGTACCCTGTAAGCGTATGTGCTTCCTTTCTTTACCCATGAACGGCTTTCCATGGAACGGCCTGTTGCTCATTCTCTCATCCCTGTGTGCACACCTCCACTAAGGGGACTTTGATGCTTTTATAAACTTCCCCGAGCTCGCTGGTACCATCACATTGCCAGAGATTGCCAAGAAGCAATACCCAAAACTCAGCTAAGAGGATGCAAAGGGTGTGAATTCAGCAAAGGCTGCTCAGAGCTAATAGCTTGGAGTGGTGAGGACACAGCTATAGGCAGAGGAACCTCGAAGGAAATCTCTCCTGGTACCTGTGCATCCTGCATCTGTGGACAAGTTTGGCAGTGTACTAAATACACTTTCAAAATCCCAATTTATGAACAACTAGAAAATATCCTGCTTAACCTGTAGTCATTGGTGTGATGTGGATGCAGATGGATCATGGATCAAGAACCTTTGTAGTGGACAGACAGGTATACCTGTGCATTTTGCAGCCCTGTGAGCATACACCCAGGCAGCCTGGGGAATTTGGTGTAGCAATACCAGTTTTTTTTTGCCTTTTCTAATATTTTTAACTGTTTTTAAATGATAAAGAGGGAATAAAGCCCCATTAGAGTCTCTTTTACGTAGCTACTGATTGCCTCGCTGCAGCAGTTCGGAGGCATTAATACTGACACACCGCTTCCCAGCTATAAGGCATTGAACAAAGATTAATCCTAGCAACAGCCTGGTGGGGCAAATCCAGGTAATCTCCTTTTTGCAGATGGAAGGAGAGGTTAAAAGGAAACCATCAATTTTAAACATGCCTCCTTGGTCTGGAAAATATGGCATTATTATTGTCATATTTAATGTCCTGCAATTACCGTGCATCAAAGAGATTAAAGGGAAGAATACAGAGGCTTTCAAGAGTTTGGAGTTTGTTTAATCATTTGTGTCTGTCAAAAAATATGTATTCTCAAATATGAATGTAATGTGCATATTTATGTAAATATCCTACGATATGCTTATGCTAAATTGTATGAGTTCTGACCTCCATGGCTCATAGGTCACCTCCATGCCACTCTAAGGAGCAAAGACCCTTCCTCCACCACCTCTGTGTGCCTTTGTTCCTGGTTGCAGGATGTCTGCAGCTCTGCAGAGCACACTGCAGTGCTTAGAGACCCATGAACCTGGATCACCTCCACATCCATCTGTCCTATTATGACCAAGGCTGGTCTAAATGCCCTGCTTGCACCCTAGCAGTACACCACCAGGTAGGAGTGGGCATGTAGCAGGCACTGGGACTAGTGCCTGGGACCTGCGCTGGATTTGGTACCACCTTCTGCTACCTTTGGTGCGCTGAGCCCTGTGTATTCCTTTCAAAGTGTCACAGAGAGCATCCAAGTTTTAAAGACTTCTGGTGATCCAAGGAGTTGGGCAGATTTCCTACAAAGAGCATTCAAAATGCATGGCTCAGGTGCCAGGTAGCTCTACTGCTGTCCTAAAAATCAGTGTAGTTGGGGCTGTTCAGCCTGGAGAAGAGAAGGCTGTGTGGAGACCTCATAGCAGCTTTCCAGTATCTGAAGGGGGCCTATAGGGATGCTGGGGATGGACTCTTCATTAGGGACTGTAGTGGTAGGACAAGGGGTAATGGGTTAAAACTGAAACAGGTGAAGTTTAGATTGGATATAAGGAGGAAATTCTTTCCTGTTAGGGTAGTGAGGCACTGGAATAGGTTGCCCAGGGAGGTTGCGAATGCTCCATCCCTGGCAGTGTTCAAGGCCAGGTTGGACGAGGCCTTGGGTAATATAGTTTAGAGCGAGGTGTCCCTGCCCATGGCAGGGGGGTTGGAACTGGGTGATCTTAAGGTCCTTTCCAACCCTAACTATTCTATGATTCTATGTATTGGGAATGCCCTCTTTGTTTGCCGTATGGTTAACAAGTCCTTAAGCTGTATATTGCACTTTTTCCTATAAACACAATGAGAAAAAAATAACATTTTGTTTTCAATAGGCTGATCACATGGCCCCACAAGCCAAGCTTTCTTCCTAAAACACCCAAAGTAAACCCTCAAATATCATAAGACTTGGGATAAAAATTGTTGCAGTGTTCATGAAAAATGTGCTACAGATAAGATTGCCAGGGAACTCTGAGCCTGATTTTACTTATGACAGCTTTAATCCATCAACCTCAACAGGCTTATTTTGTATTTAGAACATCAGGTTCTGATCTCATGTTTTTAATACCTTCTGACCACCAAAAACAATGCCAAAACCCCTGAGAATGAAACTAGAAAGCTATAAATAAGTGTGATGCTGTGTTACGGCACAGTTTCTTTGTTTGCCCTCGTTCCTTACATCCACAGCACTTGTGTCATGGAACAACAATGAAAAGCTTGCAGGTGAACCGGCTCAGGGAGGTGGGGATGATAACAAACAGCAAGAAATGTGTCATATAACATAAGGTGCAACTTACAAAGCACTGAGACTCTCCCAGTCCCTGAGCATAAGGTAAGGGAAGGCAGATGCATGGACAGATAAGAGACATGCAAGTAGAACAGAAAAGAGAGAGGAGGAAGGAAGGAAAATAAGGAAAGGAAGCATCCTGGCAGCCATGTGAAGAGCTGTAAGCAAGTGGAACCACCCCATCCTTTAGCCCCAAATGTTATTTCACCTCAAATACTGGCTCTGAAATCAGTCCTTGCTTTCCTACAAGTGGAGGGATACTAATGCTCCTTACTAATACTAATGTTCCTCATTCACATATACAACAACAGGGTTAATGGGAAGGGAGGTCATACTGAGCCTGGTGATAGACAGCTCTCTGGCAAGGACTCTGCCTGTGTTTAGTCCAAGCGTATCACATGGGTCTCCCTGTGACAGGAAAGTCACAGCCTCATTGCAAACAGACCCAGTGAAATCACCGTCATCTCAGTTACAGCATAACGAAACCAGCACGCTGTCAGAAGTCAGTTCCTGAGAGCAAACACAGTCATTTCTCGCATGAAATGATGTTTAAGAAATCTCAGATCTCCTCACGCCTCATCTTTTAAGCACAAATACAGTAAAAAGTCACAAATTTCTGAGTTGGCAAAGCAAGCAAGAGTAACGCATGGCCATGAGCAATGTTTCATTTAAGACCGGCTGAAATCTCAGTATCGTTTTGAAGACGAGCCTAAAAATGAACAGTGAAAAAGGGAGTGCAAACAGGATGCACCTGGGAATTACTGTAGAAATTACACTGACTGTCTTTGAAAGGCTTACCCAAAAGCAACAAGTTCATAGGAAACAGGCTGCAATGAGGAGCTGGGTTTACCCAGAGGCATCCTTCAGAGGAGTCAGGGTACTTTCTCCATCTACCATAGATTAGGGCATGTATTTTCAGTGAGGAACTGATTTCCAATAGACAACAAAGTCTTGGGGGCCACCACAATATGTCACAAAATCTGGTTGAAGATAAGTTCTGGCTGAAAAAAAAATATGGTGGAAAAAGTATAGAAATTTTAGAAGTTTTATTTTTACCATCTAAGAAAAAAGTGCTTTGAGTCTGTGTTCTGAAGTGGTGCATTTCCTTTGAACTTGACCTGAATTCAAAAAAATAAATGAAAACAATAAAAATAGGGTCAGACAGCCCTGAAAATTAAATGAAAAGCTTTTACTTGGGGGTGGGGAGAGGAAAGAAAACACTTTTGGCAGTCCTGAAAGTCACTGTTTTTTAGTTCAGCTGAAAAAGAAACAACCCTCCCCCCAGAAAATCTGTTTCAGGTTGAGTTGAAGTGAGGTATTTGTGCCTTTCTGTTTTTTTCAGCCCCACTACAAGGATAATTAGAAATTCAAAGTTCTGTACTAGCAGTCCCAAGCTTTTTCTTCCTTTTCCATTTCTTTTAAGAGAGGATGCATTCAAACCTCATGTTTAAAATCAAGTGAGGTCTGAGTGCAGAATGCAGCGTGGTTTTGCCCAGCAGTGATGCACTAGCCCTTGGGGACAGAGCAGAGGCACCATGCCCACCAGTACAGCCTCTGCACTGATGACAGGATTTAGGCTTGACTACCCCATCTTGTCCCCAGCACATCCTCAACGTGCTGAGTGCTCCCCATTTCTGCATTCAGAGGCACTATCAGGAGGCATTTCACAGCCAGCCTGAACACTCCTCATCCTCTGGAACTGGGGTATCACCTCATCCCCCCAGACTGCCAGCTGCTAGGTCAGCTCAGGTCCATGGTAAAACCTCATCCCAGGGCAAGTGGAACTAGGACCTGAGCTTGTCATCTTCCTTTCTCATGGCTCCAGGAAAGCCCAGCTAAAAAGTTATGGAATCATAGAATCAACTAGTTTGAGAAAGACCTTTAAGACCATCAGGTCCAACCGTTAGCTCAGGACTGACAAGACCACCACTAAACCATGTCACTAAGGGCTTCATCTACATGGTTTCTGAACACAGGAATTGTGGGGACCAGAAGGAGAAGTGTCTGGGGGCTGCAGGAAAAAACACAAATGATGGGAAATCTGAGTCATGGTCAAGGAGATGGTGAAAGGATAACGCCTGGAGTATGTGAGACTCACAGCAAAAAGGAGGGTTTAATTTTAAAATGAGGGTATCATTTATGCAACAGTTAAAGCTGTTGTTTAGTGGCATCTCTTTTTCTCTTCTGTAAATGCAACAGCCAGCAGAGTGAGAAGTGATCAGATACAGCCTCATTCCCACAGCACTTAACACCTCCTCCAAACCTAAATGCCCTCAATGCAAAAGTGGGTGACTGCGGAGGGGGGACCCCAGGGTGCCAGGAAAGGGCTGCAAGCCCCAAATTCGGTATCAAGGGTTGCTGTGCTCATTGCAGGCTGCTGTGTGTTCAAAGAAAGGCACAGGGACACTGTTTTTCCAGAAGAAGGAGAAAGCAAGTCATAATGAAACTGCGATTTGACTGGGGTCACTACAGCCAGAACCTATGTGTTAGCAGCTCAGCAGCACAGGCCACAAGCAATGAATTTAATCAACGTCTTGTTTCAAGAGGACACAAAAGGGGCTTTAATTAGGCAAAATGTCGGGATACACCTTCTTCCCTTGTATGCTTTTTGAGGAAGGCATCTGCTAGCTTTCATGATGCTTGGGTCAGGCTCATTGGACCACCCTGCTCAAGGATAAGCTAGACCTGCTCCTTCCCAGTGACCCATAATTGCCCTGCAATAAGCAGGGACATTTTCAACTAGATCAGGTTGCCCAGAACACATCCAGCCTGGCCTTGAATGGCTGCAGGGATGGCGCATCCATCACCTCTCTGGGCAACAATGCCAGTATTTTAACAACCTCACTGTAACAAATATCTTCCTCGCATCCACCCTGAATCTTAGTTCTTTCAGTTTAGAAACTAAAAGAACCCTCTTTCAGTTTAAAACATAACCCCTCGTCCTATCACAACAGGTCCTGCTAAAAAGTCTCTCCCCATCTTTCTTACAGGCCCCTTTTAGGTACTGAAAGGCTGCAATAAGGTGTCCACAGAGCCTTCTCTTCTCCAGGCTGAACAACCCCAAATCTCTCAGCCTTTACCCATAGAAGAGGTGATCATTTCTGTGGCTCTCCTCTGGACCCTCTCCCACAGGTCCATGTCTTTACTATCCTGAGGACTCCAGAGCTGGATGTGGTACTCCATGTCTTATGACAGGGAGAGCCACAAGGGAATTACACACTTCACGAGCTTGCTTTGCTACCTTGATGGATGGCAAAAGCCCTTTTTACCACCTGAAGACATACAAGGTGGCTTACAAAGTCCAGTCTTTCCAAGGGAAGGGAGAAAAAGGCAGTATTAACATTTGCAAATTCTGGATTCACCGCCTAACTCTGCCAGGGACTTTTCTATCCTGGAGCAAGTGAATGCGTTTAGCCTACAAGCTAAACAGCAGCACGAACACCCACATTCTTCCACCTCTGCTTCCTTGTCAGCTTGAGATGGCAAAAGCTTTTGGCAGGAACCAGCTCTCATGATCTGCTCAGCATTGCTAGAAGCCTGACACCAGAACCACCGCACAAACACCCGCCTGCAACCACACCTCCCACTTACCAGCCACCACCTGTAGCTGTCTTCTGGGATCAAGGCATTTTGTGAGGTCAGGAAAGGTTGCATAGTTGAATTAAATCTCTGATCGAACCAGAGGGAATGTCCCAGCTCCGAGATGCACGTGCGACAGCTGCAGGGTCTCTTGGGGTACTTGAAGAGCTTCTGGACTTGCTCTGAAAACTGCATGATGAGGTGCCTTGGGTCCCACGTGTTGGTGGTCACCTGGTGTGTGTAGTTCAGCACAAAAGACGTTACTGTGATGAGCAGAAAGGCAAAGGTAAACACTTTCACGTTCCTCCTCCTTACGATGACCATCTTTCCCACTCAGGTTCTGCCACCAAGCACAATGCAGGGTCCAACGTAAGGCAAAAAGGAAAGGATGCTGCAGGCACCTGCCAGTTAACACCCCAGGCTTAGGTTGAACATACAAACTCCATCCATATGGGAAGAAGCTACATTTCCCCCAAAATAGGCTTCAAAAAGGCAAAGCTGAGTATTTCCTTTCATGTCCTCACAGTGCTTCCAAGTCTCTTCCACTGCTGATAGCTTCTCCCAATAAACGTTCAATAAGGACCCTTGTCCTTCCACGTTCCAGAAGATTTAGAGGAGAGCAATATCAGCATTAAAATTTAGGCTTTCTGTGTGGGAGCAAGCCATAAATCAAAGCAAGCAGATTGTAGAAAGAAAAGGATGGTTATTTATTTTGTATCTCGGAAGTTAGCTCACGAAGGATCAGATCAGATCATCCGGGGATGTACATTCCAGCAAGGAGATGTGCTTTGATGTCCATTTAAGCCACGGAGAGCAGTCTGCAGCCTGGAGACACACACAGAAAAGAAAAAGACAGAAAAACGATTGTCAGAATATTTATTTTGCATTCCTCCCAACTTAATTCCTCTGCTTTTCTCTGCCCACCCCAAAACTTGCCATCAGCTCAGAGAGCCCTTGACACAGCAGCACCGGCTGTGATTTCTGCTGCGGTATTTGCATACTGAGAAGTTTCAGGGTGAACTTTCCGAAAGGGCAGAGAACAGACCTGCGGACACTGAGTCCCTTTTTATTGAAAGAGCCTCATCGCTCTGGCTGTATCTGAATTACAGTTAGAGCAATGACTCACCTCCTCCCCTTACACTGACCTTAAGAGCCACAAGATACGCAGCAAAGTATTCATAACTCAAAGCAGCTGAACAAAAAGCATTCGTCAAAGAAGGAGGAGCAGGATTGGGAAGAAGAGGAATTCGTTCCTCTCTTCCTCCCCAAAGCCAGCTTAGTTTCTTAAGCAATGGGGCTGGACTCCTGATTGAAAGAAACCTTATATGTGCTGGGACGGACAGGGGAAATCAAAGTATAAATGGCCATTGTTTCACATGGATTATTGCTATTTTTCCTGCCAAGGAAGGGTAGGCGAGGGCAGCCGGTGATCTCAGAGAATTCCCATGGGATCCTGAGCCAGGCAGAGAGGCAGGAAGCTGCTTTGCCTCAATGAGTCGGGGGACACAGAGGGACCCGGAGCTGCTCTCTGTTCCCCCCTGGCTGGCAGCAGTGATTTAAATGAGTTTTTAAAGTCAAAAAGTGGATCACTTCCTCCCATGCTGCCATTGTTTTGGGAAGAAAAACATGTTGTGGTTTTTCAAAGTTCAGATGTTTGCAAAAAGCCTCCAAAGTGCCATTGGTTAAATAACACTCTTGTGATGAAAAATAAAAAGAAGGAAAGCATCACGGAAGCATCTGTGTCAGAACACATGTAGTTTATGGAGAAGTCCAGCTATAGTCTCCTTCACTGCTCAGCTGCAGGCTTCAGACCAGCAAACAAACAGCAAAACTACAACTGTGACTGTTAAAACCCATCATTCCAACCCATTCTGTGCGTCATGTTGATGCAGGACCCAAATCCAATGCTTATGCAGACACGGAGAAGTGCATCTGGTGGTCACAGCTCTGGGCTGGGTACAACATCCCCAGCTTTGCTGCTGGCTTTTCTCCTGAGGATCCGCAAGGCCAAATGGGGTTTGTCAGGGTGTCCAGGAGACAGCACAGGCCTGGTTTCAGGCGGCATGTAAATATTTACTGAGCCCCATAAAACCAAATCCAAAGGCAGGAGCCTCAGACAGTGGTCTTAAGCCTTTGCTCTACCTCATGTTTCTCATCCGCAGCACGTGATGGGTAGTGTGTGCTGTTCAATTAGCTGCTGTTTGCCAAATGCCTTGAGATTACTTTTAAGTCTGGCCCCTACAAATGCATTTGCAGGAGTTCAAGGGCTGACAAGTGGGTCCGGCTGGACAACAAAAGGCTTTATTAACCCTGGCTGCTTGGGATCCCCTGCACCAGTAAATTAAACAGCACCAGGGAACAATCCTGTGCTCACTTTAGCTTTTTAGAAGGAAGTTTTGGGGCTAACCAGAAAGCTTCCAAACTGCTTAATCTGGGAATCACAACCCAAAGGTGGTGGGGGTGCTGTTACTGTGCCTTGGAGAAGTAGAAAGGGAGCTTAAGAGCACAGTCCCCATGCACGGCCCTGTCTGCTCCAGCTGGAGATCAGCCCCAAACACATTTGTTTTACTAACCTAGATGTTGTTGTTGTTACTCTAAACAAACCCACAGCCTCCAACCCTACCAAAACAATGCCAAATATGAGAAGCAGATTGATTCTCCCGTTATGGAGCAGATAATTCAAGAGCTGCGATGCTGGCGGGTGGAACCCCTACTGCTGTGAATGCCAGGCTAAGTCAGTATTTGTAAACACAGCTCCTGCTCTTCTATTATTAAGTGGAGGAGCGAGAGGGGATTGTCCAGCCTTTCTTGCAAAAGCCCATAAAATGGATGGAGCATTGTTCATTAAAGAAACAGTTCTGGATTCCGAAACGAACACTTATTTCACCATTTGTTTTTACTAGTTATCTTTTTGTAAGTGAACTAAGGTTAAGCATATTTAGAGTTGGGAAAAAACCCAACCAACCAAAGCAAACCCCAAACAAACCCGTGTTTATGCAGTGGACTGCAGTGTCTCCAAACTCCTAATCATCCTGCCTTTTATAGCACGTGATGGGAAGGTGAGAAACCAGAACTCCCAAGGCCCTTTTCCAGTGTGGAAATAAACACTGAATACTCTATTTTAGTGCTTGCTGCTTACAGTTTCCTATGAATGCCTGTGTTTCCTACGGATACTCATGATAGGAAAAAAAAGAATATATCTATATATATATATATAACCTGACAGAAAGGTTGTGGGGACTATAAATGTGATTTAGGGACTGAGGAAAAGGAAGGCTGAAATGATTGGAAAATGCTTTCATCAAGTTCACTGTAACTTGGATCGGGACCATTCTTTTCCCTTCTTAAAACACACACTGGATCTAATCCAGACATCAGTAGTTTCACTCTCCCCAGCATCTCGCATCGCATCTCAGACCATCCCTGTGTCCCCCTCTGCTCACATATATACACAAATCTTCACAAAAGGGGTTCCATGGGATTCGCCAATGGGAAGTGGGAAGGTTAGGGATGATGCCAAAGCAGCAGCTGGTGTGGGAAACCAGGCAGGGCTGCCAACTCTAGGTGCCGGGAACGTTTTACCTCCTGATACTATTTGCAATAGTTAATTTAAGTCATTACACGTGAGCAGCGTGATATGAGCCATGGTCCTTATCAACACACCTCCGCGTGACCTTGGCATTGGTACATCCCTGAACAGGCTATTTTGGCCTCGCACCCAGAAAGTATTTCTGGGGACCTCACGTATGGAGATTAAACTACGTGCCCAGCTCTCATGCCAGCTATGGTCCCCTGAGAGTTAAACAGAGTTAAAGTACAGTATGCAGCAGCTCTGTGCCTCCAGCCTAGGCAAGCAGCAGATTAAGCTACCTGAAGTGATTGTGTGCTTAAGGTGTTATTTGTGGTCTGGATTTCTCCTGCTATCTTCCCACCTCCTCCCCCTTCCTACATATACACTAGTCCCCATGTGTGACCCCCCTGTACACTACAGGATAACTAACTTATATCAGGGTTAACAATAATAAACGTAATAATTAATAATAATAAACATAATTTATGTTGCCAGTGGCATGCAGTAGAGGGAAAATGTGAAATGACAGTGACCTAGGCAAGAGCAGAGAGGGGCAGGTTCAGAAGATGGAGCACATTCCTCTGGTATCTGTCCTGAGCATAAGAGTGGGCCCAGTGTGATTAAATGGTCTTAAAGGAAAGCAAAGCTTAATGGTTTCTATTATAAAATATACCAGGATCAACCCATTGGCTTCTCACATTTTAGAAAGAAGGAACAGAAAGAGCTTTTTTTTTTTCTTTTTTCCTTTTTCTTTTTTTTTCTTTTTTTTTTCTCCAGGGTAGATCTTTATTTTTGTTGTAAACTCACAATCTGAAGAATGTCCCTGGTCCCTTGCCAATCTGGCAATTAACAGGCAAGAATAAAAACCCATCAGTTCAATGGACTAACATAAAGCAATCCTTAACACCTTCAGGAAATATTTTTTGACAAATCCACCTACAAATGCAGTGAATTCTCACCGCACTTGTTCTGTTATGTGATAAAAGCAAAGCTGATCTGCACACCCACAAAGGAGCACAGAAAGACAACAGCAGGAGGGGCAGCCTAAATAATACCCTATCCCAAAGGCTCTGAGGCCCATCCCAGGATCCATCAGCCCATCAAAGTCTGCACCATCCCCAAGGAGCACAATGGCACAAACATAGCTGGGAACCTGAAATAAGGACTCAGAAGAAGGGACATCCTCTCTGGATCCCTCCCAAGGCTAGTCCAGGACAGCCTCAGCCCATGATCAGACAGGAAGCCCGCCCGGATGCTCAACACCAGAACATGTTTGGGACTGAGGGTAGTTGCTGCCTGGGCACAAGGGACATGTTACAGGATACAGGGGAAAAGCATTTGGGGACTGCACAAGATCTGTGTGGTCAGTCACACAATACTAGCAGAATGATTTGTTTCTTGATTTTTCTTTTTAAAGAGATAGGTTTTAAATGAAGAAAAAGATGTAGAAAATAATAATAAAAAAAAGTAAGAAAAGAAATCACTGCACTCCCTCTCACTCCCCCAAGCTGTAAATATCCCTCTATACTAAGGTATAGTTTGACCCCTTTTTGATGCCTGCTTTTCCAGCACTACTTCGAGGAGATCTCTGTTAGCTCACATTGGATGCTGACAGTTCAGGATCCAGCTTTTGCCTTCTAGCCAGTAACTGAAATTAAATCCCCAGCGTGAAACACACTTCAGTAGTTTGAAGTTGCCAGCGTTACCCAGACACAGCGTGTTGGGCAGAACAGCACAGAGGCAACAGGGAACAGCATCCCTATACAGAGATATTTCCAGCTTTCCATTCACTGCCTGAATAGTTCAGAGATCCCAAAGTCCTTTAGACACAAAACCCACGTACCCACCTTCCCTGATGGAAGCTGGGAAGGCTGCAGCTCTCTCATGACTGATGGTGGCCATCACATAACCCTTCTACGACCCACAATATTTTACAGCTGGAAACTATACTGCAAGGAATTGAGATTTGCTGGAATTCAGCTCCAAGAAGTGCTGTGCTAAAAGGTCTTAGCAACAGAACTGTGAGTGCCCGTTTCTCAGAAGCACAGCTTAGATCCCCCTCCCCTTGCAAAACCTCCAAAGAGGAATTAGTTTCCCAGCTAAGCCACTCACAGCTATGTTGTTATAAAGCCTTTTGGCAACACAAACATGATGGCCTCAAGCATCCTTCCTTCTGTTTTGTGTCTTTCTTTCCATCCGCACTCCTCGTAACTACTTGAGCAACCCTTGGTGTGAAAGCCCTGGCCTTGGAGAG